TGGGAATAATAAAATGTTTCAAAGGATACTATCGAAAAAGATTAGTTCAGAACGTTGTTTATAATCTGGATAATAAACTCCCAAATCCTTATGCAGTTGATGTAAAAAATGCATGTGATTGGATTTCCGGAGGGTGGAATTCATTGACACAATCCACCATCCAAAATTGTTGGAAGAAAGCTTCTTTCTTTGAGGATAAAAGCAACGGAAACGCAGAAACTGAGCTTACTGAAATCACTGATGAAGAAGAAAAATGTGTGGCAGGCTTAAATTCGATTGTCAGTGATTTCCAAAGATCATCTAATACATCATTTCTATTTAACGCAGATGAATTTTTAAATTTAGATAATGATGTGTTGGTTTTCAGTGGTGCAAGTGATGAAGAGATTTTAGCAGAAGTTATCCCGGGTGATCAAAGTGATGAGGAAGAAGCAGCTGACTGTTCTCAAAACAGGACTCAAATTTCACCCGAGAATGCCATATTGCTAATTAACACTTTGCAAGATTTTGTTGCAACATTACCAAATGTAACTGATGTTCATTTGAATTCATTAGATGGACTGAAATCTATGTGCATGGAAATGGCAATTGCTTCCAAAAATAAGCAAACAAAACTAACCGATTATTTTTCTAAATAATTTCTGTTTTGATTCATAAAATTGTAAGTAAATTTTTCTTGTGTGCTGTTTCATAATTCTAAGTAAAATTTTCATTTGGAGCCTATAAAAGAAGTTTAATTTAGCATTAGTTTTAAACGTATACTTTTAAATTTCAAACCTGTCTATAACGATAACCTGCCTATAACAATATTTTATTTAGGTCCCTACAGTATCGTTATAGACAGGTTTTACTGTATTTGGTATTTAGGATATACTGCTCCACACAGAATATTCATTTTGGACGAATAATGGAAACAAAATCACTCACATTTTTAATAATTTCAATTGGCATATTTTAAATAACACAACTTAGTAATGTATAACTTTAAATGTGTTACGCATTAAGTAAACTTAAACAAATCTTAAATGTATAATATTTCATTTAAAAAATTGCCAGAAATTAATTTTTATATACATAATACTCTATTAATTAATTTTATGAAAAAATATAATCAATTATTGATCATTTATTTATTGACAAAAAAATTATGATTTAATATTACTAAGAATGTACACACGATATTTGTAAAAGTAGAAATATTTTCTTAGAATACTACTACATTTGAATTTAAACTTAGGTTGTCTCGAACTGTCTTCTTTCCTATCCCCCCGGGAAGTGTTTATTCGATTAACAAAACCGTAATGAAGATAAACAAATTTGTGAAGGGTCCGATTAAAAGATAAATTATTTTGTGAAGGGTCTGTTAATGGACTCAAATTTCTTCAAAACGGACCCCTGGCAGAGTATTGATTTTCTTAGAAAAATGCCGATAGTTAATTCTATTTCTGTGTTTCAGAATAAAACATAAAGTATGCGCCCACACTCATTATTTAATAAAAGTGTGGCAGAGAAAAAAGAATTTGCCCATTTTATGGTTCAGTTAGCTGGCTGTGAGCAAACTCAGCAGCTATTATTGAATGCAGGTTTTCTACATGTGGATTTGTTTGAAAAATAGACTGCAAACTGCAAAACAGTTTATGTCAAGAAATAGCTTGAAGTTTAAAGATTTAACGAGTGAATCTTCTTTAAATATTCTTTAAAATATTACCATAAAAGGAAAATTTCAAAAATTATTAAAAAGTTTTTGCCCAACTTTTTAGCATTTAATCAAGATTATTTGCTTAAAAATGATAAAATGTGTCACGAATTGAAAATGTGTGAAATTATAATAATAACTGTAGTAATAACAGGAAAAAAAGGATGGCAAACCAATTCCTTTTTTTTTTGTCATTTCTTAAAACAACCCACTAAAATATGGGTTTTATTGGTTTTTCTTTTTAAAAAATCAAACCAAGGTTTTTTTGGGCAGGTGGGTGGGTAGACAGTCCTGTATGATGAGAAGATAATACCTATGCTATTGTTTTAAAGCACCAGTAACTCTATGATTCTGGCACTAATTGAACAAAGCATATAACATTTTTTTCACCGTATTCAGGGGTCTGCTTAGAAGAAATTTGGCTGCGTTAACAGTACCTTTTAAAAATATCCTTCAATAATCCTCACAAAATATTTTAACTTAAGAACAAACCCTTCACGATATCTATATCTTTTAATCGGACCCTTCACAAGAGACATTCGATAGACAGCGTATTATTGTAAATAGGTTAGAAGAATTGACTGATGCTGAATGTTCAGCTATTATGGAGATTTTCAAATCTACTGGCAATCAATCGACGTATATTGCTCTAATATTTTGTTAATCATGTTTTTCTGCTTTAATTCTAAGGCTAAGTTTGATCTCATTACATTTATATTATTTACCTTAACCTCTTTGAAGTAAAAAAAATTTATAAATTCTAAATGCAGTATTCTAAGAAAATATTTCTACTTCTACAAACAGTGTATGAACATTCTTTTTGATATTAAATGATATTTTTTTTTGCATATAAATTATTGAGCAATATATTATTCATAAAATTNTAAAACTGAAAATAAATTTTAAATTATACAACCCTCATAAATTAACGATCGTAATTGAAATAAAATTACAAAAGTTTGAAATAAACACAAACAGTCCACCAGAGCTCATTCTAGGCAGGGTAAACATTGCGCAGCACCCTACTGCCCTTTTAGTCAAAAGAATCCACCCTGTTGCCCCTGAAGTAAATTAGTGTCCTGATGTATTAAGACTCCATACCCTTTTTGCTCTTTCTTTCCTCAACTCTTTCTTTTTTCCCCAAACTCTACAGTGGATTTCTCAAACTTTTATTTTTAACTCTTTTTATTTAGTTTGTCATTGCTGTCAATACAAAGATTTATATGAGAAAGGAAAAATAGTCAACAAACCCCCTTGTTGCACTTGTCTTTGAAAGTTTGCAGTTACTTTCACTATCATTAAATCATAATTATTATTAATCATTTTAATTATTAAATCATAACTATCTATACATACTTAAAAACATACATTTATTATTTTATTAATATATGCATGCATTTTAAATAAATTACCAAGCTAATTAGCTCGATACATATGTTAATTTATTAATGAAAATTAGTAATTAATATGATTGCTTTGCTACTTTTAGTAAAGTAAAAAAAAATTTTCTTTTACTAATAGACAATGTTTTTTAATAAAACGTGTAAAGCCCCTGGAAAGAAATTATTGCCTTTTTAGAATAATAATGCCCTTTTTTTAAACTTTTGCACCCTGCCCTTTTTTTGTGTGCCTAGAATGAGCTCTGGTGATACTTAACTAAGTTGTAATATTTAAAATATGTCAATTGAAATTATTAAAAATGTGAGTGATTTTGTTTCCATTATACATCCAAAAAGATTATTCTGTGTTGTGCAGTATAGGCTAAATGCCAAATATTTGCATGTTGCACCTCTAATTTAATAGCAGCAACATCTGTTTATTTTTTAAAATTAAATTTTTTTATTATAATTCCACAGTGTTGAGCTTAATCTTGTATCCATTTACAAATTCGAAACTCCTTGAAAAGGTTTTTTGCAATAACCAGACCCTATTTGCGCAAATTCACAAAACAGGACCCTGGTAGAAAGAATGCGACTTAACGATTATTTTATATTCATAAATTACGAGTAATTTTTTCACAATTTTACAAAAACAGGACCTTTTACAAAATGTCCTGACAGACCCCTGGTATTATTATTATACATAATGGTTAGAGCAACTTTTTCTAGGTAAGAACATTGAAAATAACTACAATCTCTCAACTTTAAAATAAATAGGAAAGAGAAGTTAACCCAATAACCTCATTTTTCCAGAGATCTCTATATTGTTTTACTGAACTGTTAAACTGTGTGAAGTTTACAAATCTATAATGCTTGAATCTAAAAAACAATTATAATTCATATTTCATATATATAAGTCTTCCACGATTTATCAACCCACTTAGATGACTCTTGAAATGTAGTTCTATGGTGTAACACAAGTCTTGCTTTATTGCTTTAAACTTGAAATTCAGTCTAAAGATATTAAACTTTAGTTAAATAATACTGTAAATGAATATTTCAATGAATGACCCAAATTTTAATTAAATGGCGGATTCTAATAATTTTGCATCCCTGATCTACATATCAAATTTGCATCAACTATATTCCCATCTTAAGACTACATTGAGAAAATCAATACAAATTAAGACTTAAACATTTATCAAAAATTGTTACAAAGATCTTATCAATAAGATTATATTTGTTTGTTGCTTGTAAGAGATATCTGTCATTTTTCATTCCTACTCTTTACAAGAACATACTATGTTAGGATTAAGGGCAAGAGTATGAGTTAATTCTGGGCAAGTTAAAGTTTAATTCTGATTATATATTTGTGGATATTAGATGTTTCAACTGTTGCGATCAGGTAAAAATTTTTAAACGCGGCCTCAAAAGGCAAACATATTAACCTTACACTTTTGGCTGAACAATGCAGTCTGATTGTTGGTGGTGTGGTATAATAAAAAATACGGAAGAAGAGATCAAGCAAAATAGAGTATCTTTTTTACATATAATAATGAATTATAGCACAAAGCAATAAATTACTGAACCATAACCTCATATATCTTGGTAAATGGTGATTGACAGGTCGACAACAATGCGATTTCGGTAGGTCATTTCAAAGTAGAAATATTTTGATTCTGCGGATTATATTGAAAAGGGGATTAAATTTATTTACCAGAATGTTTTCATCAGTTTAGAGCGCACAAAATATACACAAACTCACGTGGTGTAAAAGAAAAGCGCGCGTTTTATTTTTCGACTGCCAGTATGTTGGTAAACGAAGCGATCTGGGAGATCGGACGACGTCATGATCAATAGTACCGAAAAATACGACAGAGCAGCTGATAAAGCGAACGCAATAAAGAGAAAGCTAATAATCTTACCGGTTGATACACACTCCCATCCAGTTTCAATTTTAGACAAATTGCACACACCTTTTCATTTGCAACAATCTGAGTCCATCAATTGTTGTTTGCGATTCCTGGAGTTGCCATTCAAAAGAAATAAAATTGCATAAACATACACTAAATGACCGGGCTTCCGTGATTGTAGGTTCTGTTCCTTGACTGTCCTTCCGCAAATAATAAGATGGAGAGCAAATAGCAGGTTCGATTCAAATCATTTTATGCATTCCATTTGATATCATTTTCTGTTCCTATTTTTTACCATCTAAAACCATTAATAGTAACTTTTATTGCACAGACCACTTCGGTTATGTTTAAACTAATGAAGAATGATCTTAAACGACGGTATAACTATATCAATGCTTTGCATTTACCACCTCAAGAACCATTCTTACTGCCTTTAATTTTTCGCATGAGAAAGTGTTTTGCGTTAAGGAAACCTCAGGTTGGTGAAGAATATTCCCGAGAGAAAACTTGTCTACCAGATTCTCATTGACTGACTAAAAAATAAATTACTAGCTCTAAAAACGCCTTGTTAAGGCACATTCTTGTTACATCCAAATGTGCAAAAAGCGCACGTGCATTTACGAAGTACAAGTAAAAGGCCATTTCACTGCATACTCATGCACTTCCTTCCAGGGTAAATAAGAACTTGATTGGTAGAATATGTTCTCCTGCGAAAAATCTACCAATCAGGTTCTCCTTTTTCTCTATGGTATTCGAAGGTGCGTGAATCACATTTAGTGAGAATGGTCCTTAAAAATAAATTGCTTGAGGGTCGCATACATTTACCACATGCACAACATACATTTACCGCATGCATAATTCGGATATAGCAAGAATGGTCATTCAGGGGTCATTCACACTTTACGTAAAAAAATTCCTGAACTAGAAACTGATTGGTGAAATATATTTACCCGGGAAAAAATCACCCATCAAGTTCTTGCTCGCATCTCCAAATTCGAATATGTGATTTCTGCGTATACAGTGTGAATGGCTCTTTAGTGGCAATTAACAAACCAATCGCGCGACGTTCACAACTTCTTCACATTAGAATTGCACGAATGGAATTACTTTTACAAAAAACTTGAATCACAACAAGCATATTTGGCAAAAGTTTAAAAAAAAAAGTCATTCTCATTGTAGTTAAAATCATTCTTATTTAATGACCTTTTTCACCACATGCGAATGGTTCGCAGCTGCGAGCAGAAACCTGATTGACGAGATTTTTGCAAGTAAATATTGTACATCGTCGCTTTGAAACTAAACCGTGGTAATTCAAAAAAAGCAAGTTTTTCAGAAGAGCGATTTCTAACTTTTCAAGCAATCGAATCCCGCCAATGCGATAACGATTTATTTGCTCTCTAAATTAATTTTATGGAACTTAGGAAGATAACACGTTGTTTCTCTAAAAGGGTGATTTTTTTTTACACAAAATGACCCAAATATCTCATTTTTTGGATTTTTTTGAGTTACTACGGCTTAGTTTCAAAGCAACGACATGTCACCAATCATGTTATCAATCGCATACGAGGCTGTATTTTTTTGCATGGATTTATCATGAATCTTAGCGGCTTAGAGATGGCACTAACTGAGTTCTTAATGATAACACTATCGGTACTGCAGCATCTAATTTGTGCATTATTATAGAAGTAATAGATATATCAATTTGCCTTCTATCTTTATTTTAAAACTAATAAAGAGTTATTACTAAATAACTCTTTATAAATTTATAATTTACAAAGAGTTACGCAAAATTCTGAAATATATTTAATTTATGTCTAAAGTAAGTATTGCGGAGTTTTGAACAATATAAAAGCGAGAAGTATGGACAGAGAACCGTATAAAGTAAAGCACTGGGGAGGTGGTATTGGTTGAAATTTGCATCAATACCTCCAAATAACTACTTTTGATATAGTTCTAAAAACACGTCTTCCTATGTTGTTACACTTTTATATTTCTCAATATGACTTGTAGTACATGTCATTTAATTTGTAATTCCATTTAACTTTATTTGAAAACATAAAATATTAGGGAAACACTTAAATCAAGGAAATCCTTACTTTATTTATATCGTGGCATTAATTTCTTTTAATCGATTAATGACACACGAGCTTTCGAAATTTATAAATACAGAAAAATCTTGTGAATGGTAAATTACAAGCAAATTCAATACTACGTAAAATAAGTAAGTTAATTGGAAGATTTCGCTGTTTTACGTTAGATTCTTAACCTTCCCGTACGCAAAATTGAAGCAACTAAGCATGCTCTCGTTTATTTTAGATGCTACGTTTTTTAACAATATTTGGCGTGATTTACGTTACAAAGACAAGGCCACAAGCATGGTATTTATGGCTGTTGAATGTTGTTTTCTGTTTAAGCTTGCCTTCGAACTAAAAATATGGACGTGGAATACGAATTTGAAGAAATGTATTAATGAAATTTCGAAATGAATCGTGAGATCTTACAACAAGTGGTTAATTCAAAATTTTCAAGTTAGGAAACTATATGGAACTGAAAACTACATTGAACATAGCTCTAGAAAAAAGCGTTGTGGAAATTTCAAAAAAAAAATATAAAANTATATATACAGGGTGATTCTAAAAAGATGGGCAAAATTTTAGGAAGTGACAGTACAATTTTTATCAAAGAATGCATGGTTGCAAACGCAAAGGTGCTGGCGTATTTGGAAAGTTGTTTGATGCAAACGTCGTGAAAGCTCCATTCCTGTTGCGAGTTACTATTTGCATGTTATGGGAAGAAGAAGAGCTCGCATGCAAATTTTTTGTCACGATTCATACATAAAAGCTGCTGATTATAGTGCTATAATGTCAAAAAATATTAAAAAAATAATTGGCTTCTTGTGGGGACAGCTGAAGGCTGCTATGTGTGAGATTCCCATTGAATCTGCAGAAGAACTTGTTGCCAAGCTTTCGGCCTCTGCAGGGAAAGTTCATGATATTCTTGGTGTGTTTCAGAATGTACTCCTATCTTTTCTTCGCCGTTGTACTGGGTGCATAGCCACTGCCGGCCACTGTTTTGAACACTTATTGTAATCACATGCCGTTAAATTTGCCTTTATAACTTAACTTCATCGTTCTTTGGTTGTTTTTGCTTCATATAAGAACATAAACTTTGACGCCCTCTAGCGGTTTTGTATTTTGTTTTCGACTATGCATTCTTTGAAAAAATTTGTTTGTGTACTATCACTTCCTAAAATTTTGCCCATCTTTTTAGAATCACCCTGTATATATTTGTGACAATTATGTTCGAAAAAAGTTATCAAGGGAGAAAACATCGTAGAACATTTCTATATAACTGAGAAGAGGAGGAGGGTCAAGACATGGAATCGGTTATCTCCCTAGATGGCGTATTCGAGCGTTGCGATCGCGAATAATTCCACGACGCTTTCTTTTAGAATTTTGTTCAATGTAGTTTTCAGTTTCAGGTAGTTTCCTAACTTAACATTTTTTAATTTATTTGAAAATCAAGAGAGAAACTGACGCATTTCTTTTCCTATGACTCTCCACACGCTAATGGTATAAGCATTCAAAGTATTGCCATAGGTAAAGATTTCTGCTCTACGACACCTATAGCCATTTCGATCGCCAATTGCTGAATTCATTAAAATCTATTATCTACCGAGTTTTTCTGCTCATAGTACCACAGTTTTACGTAGAGTAAGGCATCTTGAATCGTATGCCACAGTTTTAAAGAGATAATCTATAATTTGTATACGGTAAGAACTCCCCCAGCAAAAAAGTCTGAGGCCGTCTACTGCTATGGAAACAGGAATAGCTCATTTCAGGGAGGGACACAACACAATAGACCAAAGAAAAAGATTCCCCTTCTGTCACTGACCCGACCCAAAACAGTAACCCCACCCCCCTACTTGAAATAGTTATATCTCATTAAAATAGTCACCACGGGTCCAGACGGATGACATGGGGAGTTCTTACTTTAGACAAACTGTACATCTATTGTAAATGTTTGTTTTGATTTTGCGGTCGAAGTTAAACTGATATTCCACTACGTTAGGGTTTTTAACTTACGGATTTTTGCCGAATCTCTTACTTTCACTTACGTAAGTTTGATATTTTTTCGCATGAGCATTTACTTGAAGTGTTTCGTCCGGGAGTGTAAGGAAGCTAACGTAAATTTGCGAACTCTCCCTAATATAACTTCCTAGAATATCAAATCTTTTCACACCTCGGTAAATGACACAGCATCGTAAATGGTGGGATAGGTCCAAAGTTTTCGAAATGTTGTTCCGGTTTCAGAATCTTGTTGTCCCGCAGTGGACTGGTCGTTAAGACACGGTTCCCAGCAGATCACCAAAGTCAAGCATCACTGGTTGCGACCAGTGTGCGGGTGGGTGATCACTTGGATTAGTCTGCGTAGGGACCGAGGGTATGTGGTATTAGTCGTCGTTAAATTGTTCTACCGTAAAGTGCCCGACTTCGAGGGCAGGTCGTCGAGCTGCCGAAGCGGGGGTGTCATCCCCTCTGCAGAGGATCAAAATTGTGATGGCATGTCTTCGGATCATCCTCAGGGATGTTTCCCAGACCGTCGCCAATAGCCCATTGCGCAGCTCTAGTGCGACGTAAATGAACTACAAAAACAGCAACAGCAAAATCTTGTTATTGTTTACATTCTGTTCCTAATCCACGAGAAGTACCAATGAAGGACAAACCATCACACTCACATGCAGCTGAGAAGAGGAATAGTAGGAAAGGAGTGGTTTCCAGTTTTCGATATGGATCCTGTATCTGCACCTGAAGGTCAATTCGGGGTGAGAGAGGCTAATTATACCTGAGAGGCTAATCCGAATCAGCTCATACACTTATTTTTTCCTACGCTCACAACAATACAGGTAAAATTAAGGGACTGATTCTCACTGTATTCTATTTGTTTTCCAATGAATTAGATACTATTTTTAATATAGTTTCTATATTAAAAGAACTATATTAAACTACTTTCAATATAGTTCTTTTAGATACTATATTTAAATATACGTTCTAAATTTAAATGACTGATTATGACTTTGTTTGAAAGAAAGATAAATTCTTTTTTTTTCCCTAAAAAAATAATAAAGTGACTGAATGGTACATATAAACAAGAGACAGGTATCCTGCTATTATGGAACATCTCTATTATTATTTAATAAGGTTCATAATCATCTTTTTTATTGTTCAAATCTCTTCTTTTTTATTGCTATCATATTCAGCCAAAAGAAATGGAGTTTGGGAGTGAAAATTAGAAATGCAA